TGAGCCTTACTTTGCACATGTATCTTACAGAAAAGTACTGATTTAACTTGAGTTCTTAATGCTTTTAGTAGTTAAACTCATGCAAACTGGAGAAAAGGACGTTAATCTTAAGAAATTGAGTGAACATTTTCTTGAAGTTAATGCAAAATCATGCCTATTTGTTGTCTTGTCGTTCCTTAAAACATCACTTTCATTTGTAAATGTCAGTTCAACTTTTTTTTTTTTTTAATTTTTTTTTTTTTTTTGTTCCTCTCGGGCTACATCTGCCAGCATTGCTGCTGTAATTTGAACAGCTTACCCTGATCCCTAATCAGGCCATTGAACACAACTCGCTCTCTGGAGAATAATGCTATTGTTCTGTCGGTGAAGGAGCACCTGTTAATAGCGTCTTCATACGTGTCTGCATACACTGTTTGAACTGAGGCAGTAAAAATTGAATTGTGAGACAGACCTGACTCCTGAAAGAGGGCCTGTTTAATCTCTTCCCCCTGTTTCTGTGTGTTTTTATTGTCTTACATGTGTCTTTGTGCGGCGCCACCGTTTTATAAAGACTGTCTTCACTTTGTCCCTGACCCAGCTGGTAAAAGGACTAATTGTGGAGATTGCTCCATCAGATTTCTCCCCCTTCTCTTTCGCTTTATGCATTTGTTGTCCAGCTCTGAGCCTTGAATAGGAAGGTGGTAAAGTAGATGTGAATGTTAAATTAGCCGAAATGAATGGAAGCAAATTACTCTGGAACGAGAGGACGAAATATTGAGTGATCAGCTGCGCTCGCTCTTTGAAAACATGTTTGAGATTTTGATTTATTATTTATTTTATTAGGATGTTTAACGCTAGTTTAAAATATGCTAATTACCTTAGAATATGTTAGCAACTCATTACATTTATTTTATGTTTTTTATTTTATTTGATCATTTTAGCATCTTAACGCTGACAAAAACACAAAGAATGCAGCAACAGACTGATGCAGTGCATGAAATCTATATCACCATTGTTTATAATGTATGTATATTCTTGCAGCTAACAAAATGATTACGTTGCATTATATTTTCAGAGTTCACACAGACACAATAGCAAATTTTTATTCCAATCAGTGCTAAACAGGGAGCTGCTAAATTGGAGCAGCAAAACAATAATTCCACTGATTAGCCCCTTTCTGTGTGGCGTAAGTGAACTGTTTATACTGTGGAGTACCTCTGCAAGAGGAGAGGAACCACAACAGTCTGATTAGGCAAAGAGTAATTGAATAAGTTCATTTCACCATGAGGACAACGCACAGGATGACAGCTTGCACAAAAGTCTGCAGCTTCTGTTGACTTGCATGAGTAAAAAGGTGCAAGATGTTTAGTCGTCTCACATTTTGATGTTGAGCTAAATTGCAAATGCAATGTAGTGCACTTTTATGAAAAATCTAGATTTTACCCGACTTAAACTAGTGAAATAAATAATCTATGTGTATGAAAATTGCTTAGAGATCAGCATTGCCTATTAAGCTGAAAGTAGTCTGATCTTTTTGCTTTCTAAGTTTATTTACCAGAAGGATAAAACTCTATAAAAAGCAATAGTTAAATCAAAATCCATCCATATTTTCTTGAATAATAAAAAAAATAAATAAAAGCTAATTCTGAATTGTAGGAACTCATTATTATTATTATTATTATTATTATTATTATTATTATTATTAATATTATTATTAGTAGTAGTAGTAGTAGTAGTAGTAGTATAATTACAGTAGTCCCTCGTTTATCATGGTGGATCCGTACCCTGACCCCCCGCGATAAGTGAAAAACCACAAAGTATGGATACAGTAGTCCAAGTTCAAGTTCAAGTACATTAAACTTTATATTAAAGCTTTAGAAACCCTTCCCCCACTCTTGCAATGTTCTAAACTCTTAAACCTACGTCATTTTTACAACATACGTTTCTAACTTTTACTTACTAGCTCTGCAGAGCAGCAGTGGCTCTGGTTCTGGTCCAACTCTGTTCTATTACGACTCGGTTTATTTCTGCAGACCTATCCTGCAGCGATGAACTAAAAAAATCAGTCCTCTAAACTTTTAAACCGACTAATTTTAACAACATACAGTACTTATATGTAGGTACTAAATTTTACTTACAAGGGCAGAACAACAGCGGCTCGGTTCTGTCTGACCCACTAGATGAAAAAATGTCCAGGTGCAGCGTGATGAAGCCCACTGCTCCATCCAGCTTGACGTGTGTGCTGCCTCTCCAGGAGCAAGGCTGCCCAGGATTTAGTCCAGACCAGCACCGCATGACCAGAATCAGGCTGAACCCCGCAGCCATCTGTCGCCTGTAGCTCCCAGGATCCGGGTCACACTGAGTCCAGATCAACTGCAGCTCAGCTACTCAGCAGTGAAGATACAACTTGAAGGATGAGTTCAGCTTCAGGATTATTTGAGACTTTCCTGCCAGTCCTGTGAGCTGATCTTTACAGAACTTCTGACTTTGCTGCAAAACTTTCCCTCCATTTGCAGCAAGCAGCGGTTGGAAGCAGTGTTGACTTCTGGGAAGTGAACTGATGACTTCTAGGTGACATTGTTTTTTAGACTGGTAAAACAGTCTAATGAAAGAAAACTACAAAATGGCAGCACATTTTTATTATTTTTTTTAAATTTTATTTATTTATCTATGTTTTTTGAAAATAGTATGTACAGTACTGTACGTCCACAAACCGCCATAGAGCGAGTCCGCGAAAGTCAAACTGTCAAATACCAAATGTTAAATCTATTGGCAGGTAGGGTAATGTTTGGGAAGCCATTTTAATCAGAAACATCAATGCAAACTTCTTTTTTATTTGTTTATTGAATACTTTATCAGTATTATAGTAACTATGATGCCAACCTTCACCGAAAAATACTTTTACTTGTTGAAATATTTAAAGCTGGAGAAAATTAGTTGAATAAAGGACACCCAAAGAACCGTGGCACTCCTATTACTAACTTGTAGTGATAAATCACAAACACAAGCAGGCCATGAATTGAGTCACCAGTTGTCTTTAAGTCATTTTCTTGTTGAACTCTACAAACTTCACTTCTTTGGGGTTTTGAGTGATCAGAATATTTCACGCAGCTGAATCAAACGACATTACCCATCATGACAACCACGCACACTGATGAATCGTCACTATTTTCTGCATGTGTCACTGAGATGTAATCTCAGAGAGCCTCACCTGTCAATGCTCCTTCACACACTCAGGTGTCAGCCCATAAATAGTGACTCCTGCTTCATTCACATTCCAGGCATTGTGTCGCAACACCGCAACATTTAAAGACAAGTCATCATCCGCCCGACATCCTCACAAATTGTTGACAGCTTTATGACAATGTGTTTCCAAGTCTCTCTGCAACATGCAACAAAAGAAAGAAAAACATACAAGACAAAGCATCGGGGTGTCATAGCACTAGCACTTAGTGTAATATTTAAAAAGCATAAATACAAAGCTACTCCCATATTTTTATTTTATTTTATGGCTACACCGTTTTTTAAATGTTTATCTTTTTTCCACAAATACTAGCTTATTAAACATCTAATAATAGTTATAAGGTGTTACTATAACACATCACAGCTCTTAGAGCCATGTTAAAGGTGTTGTAAGAATATTATATTACAGAAATAGTTTGGATCTTTTGAAGCCATAGTTCTATGGAAAGGTTATTACATAATCTTACTTGTTGTCTAAAGATATGACCTAATTTTGGAGAACTATACTATAATTCTTACCAGAAGGACAAAATAACAGCTAGTTTGAATAGAGAACAGACAGTCAACAGCCTCAGTACTATTGGCATGTACATGATCTATCTATGCTCAGCTCACATACAACTGAGTATAACATGAACGCTGTTCTGTTACAAAAACAGTGACAAACAAAACGGTGTCATACAAAAGTGTAGCGTTAAGTCTAATCCACTTTGCTCTTGACTCCACTTGGTCTGGTTGTTGGCCTGTTAGCAGTCTGGTTATGACTAAACTCCACTTTTTAAAAACAAGTTTGTTCAAAAAATCTATCTGCAACAGGTGAGATATTTATTGTTCACAACCTTTCTATAGAAATTTATAAAACGATTTGAACTAACTCTTTAAGCACACGCAGGAATAAAATATGATTGAATTCAGATTCATTCTAAATGGCTAATCTTTTACTTTATTTGTGTTGTTGTTGCTATATTGCTAACTATCTTTAAGTTTGTATTAAAATATATATATAAAAAAAAAAAAAGGTTGCGCTAAAAAGTGACCAGATTTTTTAGGTTATAAAATAATATAACATTTAGGACCACTTCAGTTGCCACCATTAATGTTGGGCTGTTGCTCTCGTGTGGCAGATGTACACCCATGCGCCCCTCCACTCCCCACTCCCACCCCTGCAGGAAAATCAGAGAGGTCCTGAGAGCCGCCGCTGGTTAAACGGTCTGCTTCAGAGCCTCATTACCTAATCACAGCACAGCCACAGTTAAGATGCACACGATCAAAAGAAGCCCGTCCTCCTTCATATGAAGGATGGCATTGTTTTTATTTTGAGCTACATTTGGTGGCACGTTTTAAGTTTTATACAAAGTTTTATTGAACATGCATCACTTTACATGCCATGTTGACAAGTTGTTGTCCTAAAACCAGCCTTTGTGGTACTTTGATACATATATTCCTACATTTCCACTTGCACACTAAAGAAGTATTAGTAACATTTCTAAATTTATGATTGTGTTTGTTATGACTTCCCTGCAGCTCCCACAGTGCTTTGTATGTGGATGTCTATTTTTCCTCACATTCTCAGGAACAACTAATGATTTTTTTTTTTTCTGAGCTGAATCACATCACTGTTTCACATTTGATCTCAGAAAGTCAATGTCATTGATTTAGCCGCTTTGATTCTGTGCTTTGTGCCATGTGTGTTCACATGAATCAGAGGCATTGTTGTTGATGGAAATTATTTTTTTTAAACTTTTTTTCTACCCTGTGTTTGTGTCCTGTCCCTGCAGGAGCTTTTGAGGATGAGGATATCATCCACGTCGAGGGGACGGTGGACCCAGTGAGAGATATGGAGATCATCCACGAGGAGCTAAGGATGAAGGATGAGGAGATGATCGGCCCCATTATTGACAAGCTGGAGAAGACGGCCATTAGAGGCGGTGACAAGAAACTCAAACCAGAATATGTGAGTCAATGTCCCAGCAGACCCTTTGCTCCCCCTCACAGCAAGGCACAAATAATAACCCTCCCACACACATGGCCATGGAGAAAAAGTATTTTTTTTTATCTCCCTCCAATAGGTCTCACCCCTCCCCCTGGCCCATTTTTTCCTTCTCTGAGATTGAAAGTGATCAGGGGTCAGGGGTTTTCTGCTGTAGAAATCATTAATAGAGTGTTACTTATTCAGCTGCCGACCCTGGGTCACAGTACTGGGCTAATGAAAGTGTTTCCACACGGCTCTTTTCATCTAAAGTAATACTCAAATCATGGCACAGCTCTTGCTCATGCTTATACTCCTACAGCAGCTTGGGGAAATTGTTTAAGGCCATACAATGTGTGACACATATGCCTATAACTCGCTATGAATACTGTAAATGTTTAGGATCGTCTTTGACAGAGTAATGTTTCTCCTGTTCTCCGAGGTGCAGGTCGCAAAACGCAAGGTAAGCTGCAGGAAAGAAAAATAACAAATGTTCATCCTGGGAGTCGGATCAAACTGTTTGTGCATTCATACACATTCAGATGGTTATACTGTTAAGGTAATGAGGCCGGTAGAGCAACTTCAGCCGTGATTCTGATTGCAGGAAGGGATGAATTGGTGTGCAAGGAATAGGTGGCCTTTCACTTGGAGCAGCGTGCCCAATTTCTGATCCCAACAAGCCGAGGCTCTGACCACTCATTAAACTAACTAGAAGGGCTATTTCACCTGCTGCAGACTCCCCTGTGACTGGTGGGTTTGCTTCAGATGCCCCACCCTCCCCTTCCTTTCTCTCCTTTTCAGCCAGCAGCAGCACCTCCCAACATCCCAGTAGCCCCCACAGACAGAAACCATTCAGGCCAGGCAGGTGGCCGCTTACTACCATAATTGCTAACAATTTTAGGCAATGAATAAAAATAATCTACATTACTTGTCAAAGGTTGCGCACGCGTCGGCGAGTGAGGATCTATAGAAGGCCTCTCTCGATGGCGAAGAATGGTGACTATCAAAGGCTGCTCTAAGCTCTTAGATGGGAGGGATTAAGTGATTGTGCCGGATGAGATCTGGGTTGGACATGCTCGACTGTGCACAAGCTCACGTGCACATGTTTATGTCATCAGCTATTGACAAAAATTTAAGAAAGCACTTATAAAAATGGAATGTAAATTGCCTGCAGTTACTTTAATTTACATCTTGGCTAAGTTGGACAAGGATTTAATCAATGGTCAGTGTCATTAGATGTTACAAGTAGATTTAGAAATTTAATGACATGAAATATAAATATGAAGGCAGCTTATTTAAATTAAGAATGGTGACTATCACAAAAAATCTTTTTCTTTTTTTTAATTAATTGAAGCTATTTACACTCAGGTCTAGTGATGGACACAAGTTGTTTCTCCTGTTCTTAAACCAAAAGGTGGAAAAATGGTGATTGGTAGACAAATGAAGACAATAAACACTCTGGAGCCTAAATTAAAAAAAAAAAAGTGTAAAATATTCTGTAAATTAACTATTTATTAACATTATTTTGCTAAAATGAAAATATCTTGACTTTTTAAATGCACTTCATGTAAGAAAATATATTGAAGTCTGGCAAAATTTTTATTAGAACGGCTGACGGTAAAAAAAAAAAGGATATTCGAACATCTTATGTGATGGAAGCGCAATTTGAATAAAAAACTGAAGCTGTTCAATAATAATTTTTGTTCACGTACTGCTTTCCAATGAACTCATCAAAATGTCTAAAAATTGCTTTCAAGATAATAAAAAAAGCCACTTATTATTCTGTTGTGAGTTTAGGACAAATATGTGCATGCATGGCTGCGACGCTCATAAGTATGCACGGTTGTAAATTTATTTTGTCAGCGCTGTGTTTACAAGAACAACGTTTCATCATCTTTGTCCACACGGATCCTCGCAAACCCTCTCCTCACCAAACAATAATAAGAAACCGGCCCACCAGCGGCGCTTCATGGTGGCAAGCGTATGTGTTTGACCCCTGTGGGACCTATATGCCTTTTATTAACACCTGCCTGTTAGAGGAGCGCTGCAAGGCGGCTGCGAGCTGATGAGGGAAACCTGGAGCGGGTTCAGCCCGTGTCACCGGCCGTTTGCTGTTTCCATTTCACAGATGATTAATCTCTCTGTGAAGACTTGGGCCGGCGCGGGCGGAGTGTATGCAGCTCTTCCTGCGCCCTCTCCCGCTGGCTGCACTCTGGCTGCCCGACTAAAAGGCCTTTAGAATTCCTGCGGAGAGAGATGTGCAGAGTGAATGCAGCTGGCTGGGGGTCAGCATGTGGAGCTTTTTCTGCCATTGTGTAATTGAGGCTCTGGCAGGATTTTTTCCTCAGTTCTTTCAAAAGGGAGTATGATTGTGAAGTGCTGCAAGGGGCTAAGGGAAGGGGGGGAAGGAGGTAGAGAGAGTGTTGCAGGGGGTGGGGGAGTTTTTATATGAAGGGGGAGGTCAAGTTGACAGGAACAAAAAGAATGTGTTCCGCTAATTTCTGTGGGGCTGGATCAACAATAATAGGCTCAATTTCTTTATTACAAATTTTGTAACGACCTCCCTCCCATTTTCACACCCTTTTCCGCTTCCAGATCCTGTCAAGACCCAGTCCTGCCTGCAGTCCCAGCCCACAAGTGCATCAGTAATGAATGCGGCGTGCATAGCTGTAAATGCTCAATGTTTTCAGAAACAGCAAATAATTAGCACTGCACCTCACGAGTGCTTGTTCAGTGTACCACTACGTTGTGTAAAGTGCCCGAGGAAGGGCCAATAATTTACACCTTGCTAACCAACTTCCAATTAGTTTCCCGCTCTTTCCAATTGCATCTCCCTTCTCCGTCCTTTTCATTAAACAGTCCCAGAGGAATATTGATGCATAAAGCCGAGGCTCAGAGAGACACCCCAGAAGGCATTTTTGTAAGGATTTAAAGAAGCAAAGGGGGTCTTGTTCATGCCATCCCTACTCCTGAATGAATGAGAGCAGGAGCCATTGTTCACTTTGGCATCAGGATGCCATGCATTTAGGAAATAATTACCCCATACCCTGCTGGGTTTATTCTTTTTCATCTCCTTTAATGGCTCCTTGTTCGTTCTATTTTAACCCCAAACAGGACGTTATGTGCAAAATAAAGAGCTGGGTAGTGGATGAAAAGAAACACGTCCGCTACTATCGTGAATGGAACGACAAGGAGGTAAGACTTTGATGTTGGATCACGTCACATTTATTATTTATCTCGGCACATCTTTTCATGAGCCTTTATGTTTTCCTCATTTTGCCTTTTCTGCAAAACGCAAGCTAATATGCATAGTCTGTCTTTTGTGTAAAATTTAACTTTTATAAACGCTAATGACATCTGGCCAAGCTGATCTTGATTCAAGGCTTCATAGTTGTCCCCCCCTACAGTGCTTATAATTCCATTTAGCTTCATTTGTCTCTCTCTGTGTTGTCCTCAAAAGCCACTTTGGAAAATAGTGGATTCGCAGAACTTGTCTTTTTTTTTTCCTACAGATTGAAGTGCTGAACAAATACTTGTTTTTGACATCCAAACCAATGATCTACCTCGTTAATCTTTCTGAGAAAGACTACATAAGGAGGAAGAACAAATGGTAAGTGTTTGAAAGAAGAGAAGGGCGGGGGCAGACTTGCACGCACTAATCACCACCAAAGAGCTTTCCCTCTGCTTATGCGAGGAGTTAAATTTATTTTAACTAACTTTGACTAAATCTGCAGTCAGCTACACAAATTGTGCACCACACCTCCACCACCTCCACCACCATAGCATCCCCTCCCCCCTGTGTGCTTTCATTTGCTGGCATGTGAAACCGAGTGCAGTCTCCTGCTGGCAGAAGTGTTCATATCTTTGAGAGAGGATCTGCCTGGAGGTGGCACTAAGTAAACTCTAACACAACATCCAGCTCTGCTAACTGTAACCGGCCTCCAGACTGTGCACTTCATTAGGCACGCACTGGCATATGGTCTTCATTTTCCCAACCAAAATTCTCATGTGATATCAAAGAGGAGGATGGTTTTCAGTGACAAAACAAGTACATTTAAAGCCCAAACAAGTGATTAATAATGTCACGGAGACGAGCGATGAATCACAGTGACAGATATTAACTGAAATATTTCGCTGCAGATGTTTGGTTTTGTCTTCACATGTTGTTGCCCTTGCTTTACAAGAATTTCTTTACAGCTATGAAACGTCCACGCCCCTGCGAGACAGCTGTGGAAGTCTTGATAAATACATGCACGCTCGGTGTTTGTTCCGAGCTAAAACACAGAACTCTGTGCAACTTTTGTCGCAGACGCACATTCGGATTGTTTAATGGCTAATTAAAGGCCTAGCGTTCCTTGAAGGAATGCAAATCACCCGCCGCCCTTCATGACAAGTTTTAGACGATCATCTTACGTCGAGAAATGATGGGCTTTATGATCAGATCTTGTATTATCCCCAGTTTCATGTAAGACTGCAAGATATCAACCACAAAGTATGTGTTCTGAATGATGCTCAGCTACTACCACACAAAACTTTATCTCAATATATGTAAAATACACTATAGCTGTTTTGCTGGTTAGCTGTGATCTTAAACTGAACTGACTTCAAAATTTGATGAATTATGATTGTACATAAAGTGGTTACTTTCTGAGAGTTTTATTGAAACCAGTTCAGACAAACAGGGTTGACTCCAACACTTAAAGCTAAAGTGTTGACCAAAGGTTTTTAGACAATGAGTAGCATTTGAAGAATGTGTTGAGACAACCAAACCAAGGTTTAGGAACAAATCTGAAGGACTGAGTTGTTGACATTTTTGTTGTGTTTTAAGGTCAGTTGACGAACATCGAGAATTGGGTTGGTTCCAAAAGATAATTGAACAAATGAATGATCAACCAATGAATAGTTCCTGAAAGTTTCAATAAAATTAAACCAGTGGTTCATGAAGCGTTATGCAGACAGACTGAATTGACTCCAAATATTAATTAGCAAATTTAAAACAAAGATCCTGTGCATATTATTAGAGTTCAAAATATGTTGCCGTCAGTTTTAACCACTATCACCCTAAAGTTTAAGTTAATATCTGTAAAGTGTAGCAATTTTTATGCTTTGTGTCAGTTAGCTGTGGCAGCCATCTTGAATTGAGTTCCCTCCAACAATAATCATTTGTAAACTCACAGCCAATGATTTTGATGATTATTTGATGCAAGTTTTGTTAAAATTTTAAATTTGTCCAAATCTGCTATTTGGGCAATAAAGCAGTGGTGTATTCTACGTGATACGCAGGTATACAGCGTATACACACTAGAAAAGCTTAAAAATTTCAGTATACCCATTTAAAAGTGCCCAAATAATACATGGCATATCATTAGGCGCGTGTCACTGATGCAATAAATGGCAGTTAAACGCTTCTGTAACAATCTTTCTGTATACAGCACTTGTTTATTACATTTGCTTATCCAGCAAATTATTGTATAATTCAGTAGTTACTACTTAGTACTTCAACATGTTTTGCTTTGATACTGTTTTATAAATTCTATAACACGTTTTTAATGCAAAGCCAACTTTTGTACAAAGTTTGTTGTACATTTATTCAATAATAAGCATCAGAGAAATTTGGAAATGCTCAATATGCTTAAAAATCAAAATCAATTGACAACTACGTTGTACTAATCTATGTACTTTGGTTTCTAAGCACAGTATACCCACTACAAAAATGTAGACTACACCAATGCGATAAAAATAACTTAAAAATCGATAGTGCAGATCTTTTGATGTTGGGTTCTGTAGAAAGTTTGTGAACAAGTAATATCTTACCTGTCGTAGATAGTTCTTTAAATGACCACAGTTTGAAGTGCAGTTTGATTCTGGCTAGACTTTTGTCGAACTTGTCAGTAGCTTTTCAGTCTGGTCAGAAATAAACTTAAAACTCACAAATTTAGTTCTTTCAAAGCGCTATCTTCAACAGGTAAGATGTGAATTGTTTGTAACCGTTTTGCTTAACCCCACGTCAAAATATCTGAACCGTTACACTCTCTGTGCTTCCTGCTTTGAGGTTCTCCTCTTTGGCAGAAATGTTGTCACCTGGCTGCAGAAAGCGTCTGACGTCCACCCTGTCTTCACCCTTTTTCACACTGCAAGTACTTTGTCAATAACGTGGATTTTTATCACACTTTTCCTATTGGCTTTCAAGCATGCTATGTCACCATTTATTTATTTTACAAATTTTGGTTTTGTGCTTTACTTGGCAGCATTGTAACACAAGAGTTGTTTACCTGTGACTGTTAAAATGTTCCTGTCACAAAAGTATAACTGTCAAGTGGAGGGAGGAGTAAAAGCTCATAAATCAAGTGATTCATGACAAGTGGAACATCCGTCATCAGTAGGAAAATAGTTTTCCTTTTTTTTTTTTTCATGTTATGTGTGTGTATGTGTGAAACGCCATAAATCTTCGAGTGTTTTAAACAGGCAAACAGTAGTGCTCAGGTGTCCCGAGGGCTCTGCGATGAACAATGCTGACATCAAAGTGTTGACATTTGACAAGTGATGAGTCACTTCCCTTGTCCAGAGAGGAGCTCACACCTGTATGGAGATGATTACAGGTAGATCTAGCTGGCCCTAATTGTACAATAAATGCTGCTCTCAGCCCTAATGGCAGCTAGTCTGCTGCAGAGACGCCAGACTGCCATTTGGCTGTCGCCATGCTCTCGTGTTTTTCCACCAGCGCAGTTGAGATGATGATACGGTTAAGAACTATTCAAAGCAAACAGCAAGTCAAATTGCAATCTCAGCTTTAATGTGTCGAGGAAGAGAAGGTGAGTCGTAGAATTAGGCAAATAAGCCAATTTTTTATCCACATCCCTCAGAATGTCCATTCAGGCCATTCCACAGGTTCACATTTTTGTGTCGTTTTGCAGAGTGCCGTTAAATTGGAAGTGTTTCATTGAGCGCATGCTTCCCAGTAAGTTTTAAGTCAACGTTATCAATTTTAGCAACTTGCATAAAATACATTACTATTATTACGCCATCTTTCCACGCAAACAGATGATTACGTTTGCCTCTTTAACAGCATCTACCTCCAAAAGCAGCTAAGACAGATTTTTTTTTTTTGGAGTATGCGGAAACACATACCAAGCCGCCCTTGTTTAGACAAGAATACACAGTATTAGCCTTAGCAAGCCATCATTAATGGAAGGATCAGACGAGGAGCAAGGCCTCCTTTCATCCTCAGGTTCTCTGCTGGAGACAGAACATCATTTACTGTTGAGAGGAGCACATGGCTCCAATCCTATACAGTTCATGTGTATGAGAATGCGTTCATGTGCATGTTTGAAGTTTGTCTCAGAGGCGACTCCACACTCATTTGGATGCTGGTGTAATTGCAGTGCGGAGATCAAAGGCGAGCGGGCCGAGTGATGTTCCAGAGGAGACTTTTACCACACAGCCCTCTCCTCTGTGCAGAGGGGGGCCGCCCGCTGCTCACTGCTCCCCTCTCCCCTCCAGCCATGCACTGCCCCCTGCACATCTCCGCTCGTAAAAAATGATTAAGACTGGATTTGTCATGTGTTTATGACTGAGAGGCATTGCGTGATAGGGAATGGCATCTACAAGAGTCTATCAAGAGGCTGTTTCCCACTCTCCCCACGGTTGGTGAGCTGCACCACATACCCGAACTTGTGTGGTCATTAGAGCACTGTTGGTGATGAGATGGCTGCAGTCCGTCAGTGTCGGCATTTGTCACAGGCCCTCTGAAATATTCTTTATATTACCACTATCACTTTATACATGGTTTAATAGGTTCTGTTAGCAGATATTTATTTAATCTTCCTCAGAGAACAAAGAGCAGCCACAGTTTGTGATGTGGCAAAAGACACTCTTGAGAATATTCCAGTTGTGCGCTGAAATGTTTTTCTTATTTGTCATTTCCTTTTTCTGTGTTTTTTTTCTCCTTTTGGACAATGTGCATTAAAGTAAATTGGCGCCTCTTAAGTAGATGAGTTGACCTTTAAGGAAACCAGCAAGCGTGACCTGTCTGTGAGTGCTTCTGCCGAGTGGTTTCTCCCAGTGAGTGAAAGAACTGCAGGGTACCATCGCTTGGAGCTTTTATTAACTCTGTTGGTCTGGGTCTGATTGTCTGTCTTATATGCCAGAGTGTGTGTGTGCGTGTGAGAGTGTTTGTGTGCTATAGGTAGTCTATTTGGTTTGTTCAAACTTATTTCTACTCACTCTCAAACTTTTTTAATTACACACTTTTCGAGCATCATCCCCCATCCAGTCTGCACTACAACAGATACTTTATTCTTTGCATCCTTCATACTTTATGTCAATATTTATGCACACATTATTGTTGTTATTTCCTCAGGTATACTCCTTATTTGGTGTAATTTAACTCATCACTAGTATTAACTGTTTTAATCAGCCATGGTGTTAAAAAAACAGAGGAAAAATAATGTGCTTTATCATCTGAAGCAGCTTTCTGTTCACCTTAATTAGTTTGATCTTAACAAATGACTGGTTGGACTTTTGTATAACCCATGGAATAAATAAAAAGATAAGGATATACGATTTTTCTCACACCAATAATAAAAAATGCCAACAAATTTACCAAATTCA